TTTATATATTATTTTATATTTTTTAAAAGTATATATTTTAAATTATTATGTATTAATAATAACCTTCTTACGGGTAATGTTCTACATAACATAATATTGCATTATAGATATATTATTTTTCTTAATATATATATATATATAATATAGTATTAAAATTAATATATCATTTCAACAAATTCAATTGATAAGATTTTAGTTAAATCGAGATTAAATTCAAATAAATGATCTTTAAAAAAATTTCAAATTATGTAAGAATAAAAATATTTTGGTTTCAATGATGATCAATATGTAATACTATGTTTTTCTTATATGCATGTTTTGTATATTGTATGCTTGTTATATCGTATATATATTTTTGTGAGAAAAGGGTTTGTGATGAGTTAACCCTAAGGTAAAGTTAGTATTGTGAGGACTAAGGTATATATAAATAGGAAAATGAAAAAGAAAACTTTAAAAGTTTCATTTTCATAAAAGTCAAAGATATAAACTAGAGAGAAAGATTTTAGGAATCCAAGACTCCATTTTGACTTTTAATCATTCCACAAGTCTATGATCTTCTTAAGCTAGATATTGAAGCCTTTTATGTTGAAAGAAAATCATTAGAGTTGAGATTTTTAGGCAACTTCCTTTCTACTTCAACTTTAGCTTATAGGAAGCAAATCGGAGGTAAGAGAAGCTTCAACCATGTTCTTGTATGTTGTGTAAAAGGTTTTGAAGTTGTTTGGATCCAATTTGATGACTTTTCTTTTGTTGGAGTTTTTGGGGTCCTACTTGGGGGGAAATATTTTTTTGTTGGTTTTTGCTTGCACATGTGGTTCCTTGCAAGTTATGGTGCTTTAGGGATATGTATAATGTTATTGAAGTGCTAGGTTTGTTTAGGCTTTGGGATGGCCTTGCATGTTGAATGTTCTTGGCTTTCTTGCTTAGCAAGATGGATTCTCACTTAGTGAGCCTTCATGAGATGAAAAATTAGGTATAACACAATGTATTTTTTCTCAATGAGATAGGTCTCTCTCAACGAAAATGACGAACAAATTGAATATTGACTAAGCAAGACCATTATTCACTAAGCCAAACGAGTTTGGCTAAGTGAGATTTAGTCTTTGTGGTTCGCTTAGTGAATTTTAGCTTTTGTGGTAGGTCATTCTTGGGTCACTCAACGAGTTTTGGTCTCCATGAGATGACCATTTTAATTTCGTTAGCAATTTTATGTCTCTATGATTTTTAAAGTTTGGAGTTTGCTTAACAAAAATGTATTAGCTTAACAAATTTTGGCCCATAGTCAAAGGCCATGGAAATTCACTCAACAAAGGGGCTCTTGTTGAGATAATTTTTTCTTTGTGGTAAAATTTGCTTAATTAATCCCCTATTTTGGCTAAATGATAATATAGTGTGTTTTAAGGTTTTCCTGATAGCTTTAGAGGCTAGAAATGTGTGGCTTATGCTTTGTTTCCTATGTATGGACGTGTGATGTGCTTGTTTATGGTAGATTATATAATGATAAATAAAAGTGTCTTGTATGGAGACATGATGTGGATTTGGGGAGATGAATTCTCTATTTTATGGTGCCTTGAAAAATGTTTGCAAAGGTGGTTTAAAGGAGAATGTGTTGGCTTCTTTAGGAGATGTTTACTAAAGATCCACTATAAGAAAAATTATTATTATTTACGGAATATTATCTACGAAATTTTTTCCGTAGATAATGTTTAGTTATCTACGGAATATTATCTACGGAATTTTTTCCGTAGATAATTTTTAGCTATCTACGGAATATTACTTACGAAATTATTTTCGTAGATAATATTTAGTTATCTACGGAAATTTTCGTAGATAAGTTATCTACGGATTTTTTCGTAGATAACTTCACCCATAGATAAATTTTGTAGGTAAAACATTTTATTTGAAACATCAGTTAACATATTTTATTATCTTTTCATTTTAATTTATTGTAAAATAATTAAAATATTTAATTTAGCATCATTAAAAAAATAATCATTATAAGATTTAATTTTTTTTAATTTAATTATTTATTATAATACTTTTAGTCAGTGTATTGACTAAAAAATATATTTTAGATTAAAATATATTTTAAAATTATTTTGATTAAAATATATTTTAAATATTTAGTTAATTCATTATAATATTTTAAAATAAATATTATTAAAAATTGTCATTAGATAAGTTATCTACGGAAGATTTTTCTGTAGATAACATATCTACGGAAAAATTCGTAAATAACTTATCTACGAAAATATCCGTAGGTAACTTATCTACGGAATTTTCTGTAGATAAGTTATCTACGAAAATTTTCGTAGATAACTTCACCCGTAAAAAATTTTTTTAGGTTACATTTTATTTGAAACATCAATTAACATATTTTATTATCTTTTCATTTTAATTTATTGTAAAATAATTAGAATATTTAATTTAACATCATTAAAAAAATAATCATTATAAGATTTAATTTTTTTAATTTAATTATTTATCATAATACTTTTAGTCACCGTATTGACCAAAAAATATATTTTTGATTAAAATATATTTTAAAATTATTTATGATTAAAATATATTTTAAAATTTTATTTAATTCATTATAATATTTTAAAATAAATATTATTAAAAATTGTCATCTTAAATTTTTTATTTTTATAAATTAATTGATGATAAAAAAAATAACATACTAATATATGGTTTTAAATTTGATATGAAAATATTAGGATATAATTAGATAAGATTTTAAATTAGTATTTTATTAATGATTGAAAATTTAAGATTATAATTTTAAAATATATAAATTATTATTTAAACTTTTAAATTTATAATAATTAATTTAAATTGTATCATAATATTATTTTTAAATAGAAATAAGTAAATTGTTAATTATACAAGTAAGTATATTTATAAATAAATATTAATTAAATATAATATTATAATTATTATTATTGGTAATATAATTATTATATATATTTTTATATTTTTATAGCGGTCTGGACATACCAAAATGAGAGGGATCCAAAAATAGTATAAGTATGAGATTGTACTTAAATGAATTAATTTGTACTACTTATACTGATAACATGCATTAGCTTTTCTGTAGCCTATCTCATCATAACTCTACAATTAGCGTGCTTGATCTGGAGTAGTATAGGGATGGGTGACCTTCTGGGAAGTTTCCCAGAAAATGTGCAATAAGGACAAAACATGTTGAAAAATAAAGTGGAATGAAATAACATCCTTGAGAGGCCAAATATGAGGTTATTACATTAATAAATTTATTAAAATTAAATAAAAATTTCCTAAAAGTTATCTACGGATAAAATCCATAGATAACAACTTTCGCGAGTTATCTACGAAAAATTTCGTAGATAACATTATCTACGAAAAATTCCGTAGATAACGTTACCTACGAAAAATTTCGTAGATAATGTTCCGTAGATAACGTTATCTACGGAAAATTCTGTAGATAACATTATCTACGACCTTATTATCTATGAATTTTTTTTCGTAGATAATCCGTAGATAATTGACACTTATCTACAAATTTTCATGTTTATCTACAGATTTTTCCGTAGATATTCTTGATTTTTCTTGTAGTGAGATGTTTAGTGGAAGATGTCATTGAATAGATCTCTGTGAAGCTTTTAGGCTTTGTGCCTTTATATAGTGTGTTTTCTTTGAAAAGAAATTGTCTTCCTTTAATTGTGCTTTGAGAAAATGATATGAAGTAAGCCACTTCATATTTATCATAAATGCTTATGTTTAGGTTTTCGAACCCATATATAGAATTAACATGTAAGTCATGGGTTTCTTAGGGTATAACTCGACCTAATGTTAGAAGGGTACATTTTATTTATGTGATAAACAACATGCTAATTCTGTTAAGGGTTTGGTTTATGTATATCAATGTTATAGTAGACTCATACTCAAGTTATACTATACTTGACTATAATACGAAGTCTTCCTAGTTTATATTGCCAATACTCTATTGCCTAAAGTTGTTACAATGTAGTAAGATCACATTGAATAAATCACTCATCTTAGGAGATATTTGAGTAGGATATGCGTGATAATGCACAATGCATTGGAAACATAATGATGTATACAATTACATGGTGTTGTGTCGTGGATGTGTATTATGTGTTCTCTTAATGTGAAAATGGTTTGTAACGTGGGAGTAATGTGACTTTATGCTTGTGGATGCTTATATCCATGTTGCATACAATATTGTGTATGTTTATTCTTTTTTATATTAAACTTACTGTTCTATTGTGTGTTTGATTTTGAAAATTGTGTTTTGAAATGAAAGCAAACAAACCATGATTAACTTGATGAAGGTGACTTAGAGCTACGCGAGGCCTATTAATGGATGGCTGAGTCCAAGAAACCAATCTCTTGGCTTTTGTAATGTATAGACTAGTTAGTAGGATGTATATTGGAATATTGTAATCCCGCAAAGGAAGTTATATTGTGATGATTAATAATTTGTTTATGTTTTTGGATAACTTTTATTGTTGATGATCCCTTTTATATATTGTCATATATCCAGGTTTTATTTATGATTGAAAATCCTATAATAGATGATATGATATGTGATGTATGTTATATTTATGATTGATATTTGATTTTCTTAATTCAGATAATATATATATATAAAAATAGAAAGAGTTTAATTTGTTTTGTAATAGTAACTAAAATGAAATCATGTTAAATATAAATTTAAAAAATATGTTACATGAAATGTTTTAGACAATAACGTAAAAAGGGTTGGGTAAACAAGTTTAACCGTTACATTTTAAATGCATTTGTAGTTAAAGATGTGGAATGTATATGCCACGTCACCAACCACGTAGACAAGGGTACCATCAACCCCAGCTTGCCCAAAATTATGTTGTCTGTATGCAGTTGCAGAGAGACACAGCCAGAGAAAAAAGAAAGAGAGAAAGAGAGAGAGAGAGAAAGAGAGAGAGAGAGAGAAAGAGAGACGGGTCTAACTTCCAAGGAGTATTCTCCTTTTCAGTCCACTACGCTTCCTTCTTCCCTTCTCCGTTAGTTACCTCTTTTCTCATTCCTCATTTCCAATCACATTTTCTCCCAAATTCACCTCCCTTTACCAAACCAAAAAAACCAAAGGTTTATTGCCTTTTTTGCATTCCATTTCGTACACGTACTTCTACTTCACTTCAATTCTTCCTTCTACCTCTCTTTCTCCTTCATATTTTCTTCAATTCATCATTTTTATTTCCCGAATTCAATTCTTTGACTATTGTGTTTCTTCAATTCAGCTATCCATTGGATCACGTCACCCACTTTTGCTTTTGCTCTCTTCTCCCTCTGAATTGAGCATTTCCGGGTTCTATTCGCCTCTGATCGAATTGGGTATTTGCAAGATCTGCGGCTTCATTTGTTTGGGGCAAAAAGTTTTGATCTTGGCGGTGGAACAACCCAATTACCGGTTTGGATCCGATCGGGGTAGAAACAGCGCCATCAGATGGCGCTGTTCAGAAGGCTATTCTACCGGAAGCCGCCGGATCGGCTTCTGGAGATTTCCGAGAGAGTTTATGGTTTGCTTCGTTTCCATTTTCCTCTCCTTTTTACTCTTTCTAAATTTTGTTTCCTCATTAATTGTTCTGTTTTCTCTGCATAACTCAGCTCTTGAATGCACCGGAAGCATTTCATCCGTTACTTTTTTTCAGCTCTGTACAAGTTAAGGGGCAGCTGATTTTGTAGCTTCTAGGACTCCGTTTAATATTTAGAAGCTAATTTAGTAAGCTTTAATTATTTGAAACAATGCCTATTGTAATGTGCTAGGACAATGTGGACCTCTTTTTTCAACTAGGACTTTTCAGTTTCCTTTATCGCTTTCTTGTAGGAAATTAATCACTCCTGGGAAGAAAAAATAAAGCAGTATGTAGGTCACGGTGGTCGTTTGTCAATTAGGATTGCTGGTTCATGAGCTCTGGAATATTCTTTCAACTGAGACTATTGAGTGTTGTCCTTTAAGGCATTATTTTTTTGGCTTTCAACCGTGGCTTTTGTCTGTTGTTGCAAAGATGGATATCGGCAGAATGCAGTAGTTTATCTGTTAATTCTTAAATGTCCAGCCTTTTGATCTTGAGCTTCTGCATAAGAATTTTGTTTCTTCTTTGCTTACTGTCTTTGGTTTTTCTAACTTCTGTTTGAAATAAATACGTGGGTTTTGAAGTTGTGAGTAAGTTCTCTAGTTTCTCTGCCCCCATGTTACCATGCTGGTAGTATTTGACTATTCCTCACCTGTTTTTGCAGTTTTTGATTGCTGCTTCTCCACGGATGTCTTGGAAGAAGATGAATACAGAGTTTATATGGCGGGGATTGTGGCTCAGCTACAGGACCACTTTCCAGATGCTTCTTTCATGGTATTCAACTTTAGAGAAGGGGAGAGACGCAGCTACATCTCAGACATACTTTCTCAGTATGACATGACAGTTATGGAGTACCCTCGGCAATACGAGGGTTGTCCCCTTCTGCCTCTAGAGATGATCCATCACTTCCTTCGATCAAGTGAAAGCTGGTTGTCTTTGGAGGGGCAACAGAATGTGCTTTTGATGCACTGTGAAAGGGGAGGTTGGCCCGTGCTGGCATTTATGCTAGCAGGTCTTCTGTTATTTCGGAAACAGTACAGTGGGGAGCAGAAGACTCTTGAAATGGTCTACAAGCAAGCTCCAAGAGAACTACTACACCTTTTATCTCCTTTGAATCCACAGCCTTCTCATTTTAGATATCTTCAGTATATTTCCAGGAGACATTTGGGTACTGAGTGGCCACCATCGGAAACACCCTTATATTTGGATTGTCTGATTCTTAGAGACCTTCCGTTATTTGATGATGGAAAAGGTTGCAGGCCTGTTGTACGTGTTTATGGTCAGGACCCTTCTATTCCTGCCAATAGAAGTTCAAAGCTTCTTTTTTCAACTTCAAAATCCAAAAAGCATGTTCGCCACTACCTACAGGTTACATATACATTTTCACTATTGATACTGAATTGTGACTTAATTAGATAGAGTGTCCCCTTATTAAATTTTAATCACAGGCAGAGTGTATGCTCGTGAAAATTGACATCCATTGTCGTGTTCAAGGGGATGTGGTTCTTGAGTGCATACATTTAACCGAAGATTTTGTTCGTGAGGATATGATGTTTAAAGTTATGTTTCATACTGCATTTGTGCGGCCAAATATTTTGACGCTGAACCGTGATGAAATTGATATTTTGTGGGATGCAAAGGAACTATTTCCCAAGGACTTTAAAGCAGAGGTAAGTTATTGTTATTCTTCTGAAAAAGCCATTTTCTGGAGCAGTAGGAGTTGAACGCATACTCATATCTGTATCAGGTGCTTTTTTTGGACGCTGATGCTGTTATACCTGATCTAACCACAGTCACTGTGAGTGAAGAAGCAAATGAGATCGAGAGTGCCGAGACAGAAAGTGCTTCACCTGATGAATTCTATGAAGTAGAAGAGATTTTCAGCAATGTAATTGATGCACAGGAAGGTAAGACGACAGAGTATGATTCTCATGCTTTTCATGAAAATGTGGTGGATGATGAAAACCATAAAGAGGTCTGGAAGGAAGAGTTGGACCCTCCTACTTTTGAGGATTGTACTCCAGATGACAGGAGTCCCAAGCAGGTTGACAACATGGATTCTGGTAATGCAGTGAAAGACATCTCTGTTGACGATGTGCACTATAAATTTGATGGGAGCATGGATTCAGATCTTCACGCAGTGAAGGACATTGCTGTGGATGATGGAGAAATTAATTCAACTTTCACTGCAGTTATTTCTGATATAACAAAACCTCCTCTGGAAACAAAGGATGTCACAGCGGATGTGCACCAAGAATTAGCAATTATGCAAAATGAACATGACGATGATAAGGAGGCAACAGAGAAGGAATTAGACTCCAAGTCTGGGCAGCAGATGCCTGATTTGTCTGAACAAAATTCTGGTAAACTACTTCCATCTACTCCCAAGAAACAACTTTCATCTAACTCGAAGCCAGTTGGAGATACATTTGCAGTGAAGCAAAAGATTAAACAGCAAGAAACCCATGGTTTTCAGGCAAAACAAGCTAAGCCCAATGCAATGACTAGGTGGATTCCTTCTAACAAGGGTTCTTATACAAATTCAATGCATGTCTACTATCCACCTTCAAGAAATAATAGTGCACCAGCTGCACTGACAAATTTGTCCACCTCAAAGGAGAAAATGGAAGATGCCAAAACAAGATCTTTATCTGCTCCTGTAATCTCTGGGGTTGTCGTTTCTATTGACAAGACAAATGACCTAAAAAGTCGTAAGGTGGCTGCTTCAAAATCTTCTGGCTATATATCAGCAGAAATAGATGCAAAAAGTCCACCATCACCATTGCCATCAATTAAAGAGACATATTTCCAGTCAGATACTCAGGCACAACAACAGAGCTCAGAGCAAGTGCTACAGCCTCCCCCACCTCCTCCTCCCCCTCCTCCACCCCCACCTCCCCCTCATAGTAGAAACTCTTCAGATATTTTTGAATCCTTATCAACAAAGGATGATGTATCAGCTCAAGACTCTCCATCTCCACTAGTATCATCATCATCTTTTTTGGGTAGAAAAGGGTCCATCATGGAGCTAATGTCACCGCCACTGCCGCCACCGCCACCACCACCACCACCTTCAACTTTAACATCATTTACAAGACACCCTGCAACTTCTCTTCCTTCCCCTCCACCCCCACCACCGCCCCCACCTCCACCCCCAGTTTTTGGGCAAAATAAAGGGGGCTTAGCACCTTTTCCATCCCCTTGGAAATCTGTGACCTCACAAATAGATGAAGAGACTAGTGGATCTTTAACACTTCCTACAACCCCTCTTCCTTTTGCAAGCAATGAAATTGGATTGGAAGTTTCTAAAGTGGGTACTGTAGTGGCCCCTTCACAGCCTCCTCCTCCTCCACCACCACCTCCAATGCCTCCTCCAAGGTATGAAGTTTCATCCATTCCTCCTCTAACACCACTAGCAACACCTCTTCCAAAGCCTGAAATTCCATCAATTCCTCCTAGTCCTCCTCCCTCATTTCCTATGGCTTCAACACATAGGGCTCCACCCCCTCCTCCCCCACCACCCCCATTTGCATCACATAAAGCTCCACCTCCACCTCCACCCCCACT